TTGGCCCCAAACATCAAACTATGATAAATTCAACAAAGAAAAATGTATTTTTAAAACTAAAAACAGGCTTTATTTAAATCGAACAAAAAGAAAATATTTTTTTACACTTCTAAGAAACTAAAAAACACGCTTTTATAGTGAATCGAGCTAAAAAGTAAACAGAATAATTCTTAATATAAGAATAAAATGATTATAACGAGAAAATATTAATGTCATTGGGATAAAAGCACGGGGTGTGTTTTGTACTACATTTTTACACTAACTCAGCATTTCGGAATAGAACTAGTAAGAAATTATAACAAAATTAATATAGAGCACCCCACGCTTTTATCCCAATGACATTAATTTTTTGAATCATTTTATTCATATATTAAGAATTTCTTTTTGTTCGGTCCAATAAAACGTTTTTAGTTTAAACTTATAATTTATTAAAATAACACTCTCATAGTTAAAGTATAAGTCCTTATATATATGTTTATCGTCGAGATAATTCACACATTAATAAACAAACAAATGTCCGATTTTCCCAGAGTTATCAATATTTTCTGGAACAGTGCGATGACTGATTTAAACGTATCACACTCGAAATTTTGAAAACACTTTTAGTACAACTTTCACTAATACGAGCACTTTCAAATCACTTTAAGACAGACCGAAAAAACAAATGTATATGATTTACTGAGTTCCTTGAACTGAATTTTATATCTCTCTATCAAAAATATCTGATTTGCAGTTGATGTATAAAATTAAACAAGAAATTATTGGAATAAAGTTAAGATTCAACAAAGCCAAAAGTTTGAATTTTTATTTTTTTTAACACTTTTTTTTAAAGGGTTCAAAAGGCATGCCAACAAACTTAAAAGTTTTGTTTTTTTATCAAATGGAGAACGACCCCCTGCGGGATTTCTTTCTCTAAGTTCCACTCGGCGCCAGAGTGAGAACTTTAAGGTATCAGACTACGTTCGGAACTGCGATTTTGCAAAAGCGTATAAATGGATACTATTTGTGATATTTAGTGTCACTTAGACTAGAAAATGTTTTAAAAATTTTTTTAAGAATATTTTACAATAAAAATTTTTTAAAAATTTTTTGATAAAAATTAAATAGAATGACCCATTTTTTAAAAAAAATTCTTTTTTGTGAAAAATGCTTCTATTTAATAATATTTTGCCTGTATAAAGTCCAAAACCTCGAAAAAAGGGTCAAAAAAATTTTGGGGAAATATTAACTTAGAATGGGGTTTTTCCAGTTTTTTCGACAACAGGGGAAGAAATTTTTAAAAAAAAACGCCGATCATTATTTCAATGGGTTTTTAACCGAAAATAATGTAAATTTTTTCAAAAAATAGTTAGCTCTCAGAAGTTTTACTTTTTATAAAAAAAAACCAAAATATTATTATTTTAGTAGATTTCTTTAAAAAAGGGGAACATTTTGAAAAAAGGTTATTCTGTTTAATTTTGCCAAAAAAATTTTTTTTAAATAATTTTTTTTCAAAATGTCTTTAAAACAATTTTTTCTTTTCAATCTAATGACACTAAATGTCATGAAAAATCCCTTTATCGCTTTAAAAACAGGTTCGAACGTAGTGGGGATTTAACCCAAAAAGATTTAACATGCATCAACCACACTTCAATGGCACCAGGAATCGAACCTTCAACAGCGAACTCGAACACCAAGCTACTCGAGCTCTACAACGCCGGCCACGAGTCACGAACATGATATTCGACTACCTTGTGACGGATCTATACGCGTTCCTTCAATTAATCCTCTTGGGAAATCTTTGCGCTATCAATTCGAGTTATTCACCACCAGCCCTTCGGAAGAAGAGAATCGTGATATTTAAATTAACTTACTATATACAGTCGAAGTTTTCTAGCTTGAGTAGAGAGTAGGAGAGGAGATATACTCGAATCAGGTGAGATTGCTACTAAAGGTATCATATATGATTTATCATTATTCCTTCGGAAGAAGTTTTAAAGTGACGATTGTTCACTGACATTGAATTGATAACCGATTAAACCGGATGATAGGTTAGATCCTTTATTAAGGTAAGGATCAAGTTTGATAGTCTCCTAATCGTTCGCGTTTTACCGTCGTTGTTCCTCTTTCGTAGTTAGCATTGAGACATTCTCTTACTTTTATAAGTTAAAATTGTGTCTGTTCTTTGTGAGATAAGTAAATAAATTAATCGGATCATGTCGAGTGTTTTTTCCCTACCTCCCACACATCTAGGTGCCCGAGAGAGAGGTGCTAGCCTCTCACCACCTTGACTACAAGTTCAAGAAAAGTACTTTCTCGAAGATGGGTGCTTATTAATGTCGAACTTAACAGCAACACGAGGGGTTATTGACAACGAACCACTTCATTATGAAAAACGCTCAAGAGAGTGCGATGACACCTGAGATGGCACTCCGGCTTGCCCCCCAATGGCCTAATTTCTCCACTACGCCAACGCAAGGACTTTCAAACACGACATATTTAACGTGCCTTAGTCCCTTTACATGGTGGGTCTTCAGTGACACCTGGCTTGAACCTGTAACTGGACAACGTCGTTCACGGGTTTGTGAATGTGACTACATTTGACTACCGCAGTTCAAAGCCGAAAAAGGTATTTGCTAGAGGAATAGAGGGCATAATAGTGTGCGTGTTACGTTGACACAATCAGTGTTAAGCATATTTCTGAAAGAGATAGATCAATAAAATAAGAAAAAACGTGATATTTATTAAATTAAACATGTTTACACACTATTTTAATCTTTTGGTAATCATTTATTATTTCTCTTTTTTTCCCCCAACGTTTTTTTAAACCCCTACTATTTTTCCCCATTTTTTTTTTTCTATAAATATTTCGGGAGAGTGGTAAAATAACTGTAGTAGCGGGGGTGGATGATTTTAAATTTGCGAACGGATAGGGCGGGCCATTGGAAGTGATTATGGTAGGGTGATCATATTTATGGAATTGATGAGGCAGTCTTGAAAGTAATCTATTTATTTCCATTTTTAAACACTTAGGCATTTTAATTGAGAAGTATGGAGGGAAAACACAGAAAAAAAGAACAAACAAAAAAGTGGCAGCCGGCTGGTTATGTTTACAGAGAGAAAAAGGAAGAGTTTTTTCCAGACTGGGTTTTTTAATAGCTGGCGGTGATATCACGTGATTTAGGAGGTGATGGATGTCTTCAAAGGTCCCCGGTAGGTAGCCAATTTAAAGGGATCCACTAGGTTTAAAAAATGTTTTAGGTGTTTGATGTTTGGTGTTTTTTGGGCATTAGGGAAAAAGAAATTAATTTTTGAGGAAGAAGGATTAAACATAAAAAATAAAGGTTTTTGTTCTTTTTTTTAGCATTTACTTTATCCAACTAACAAAATATTTTTTTTCTTCGTTTTTTGAAGAATGGACTTTTAGTAATTTTGCAGAAAAAAAATGATATCTTCTAAATAACCAACGAATGCAATGAAATTTATAAATATATTGTAGGGCCCCCCAGAGTGTAACAAACCGCAGGTTTTAAGACACTACAATTAATACATTTTACAGCCGTTTTAGAGAACAGGCCCGTAATTTTAACGAAAAATCATGACCACCAATTTAAATGCTAATAAAATATTGTTTCTTAAAATATTTTTTTTTCCTGCGGTTTGTGACACTTCAGAGGGGTCAAGAAGTATATCAATGACGTTAAAATTGCATAATGAATAATTTATTTTTTTTTTATCACATTTTTCTTTTCTTAAAAAAAATTTTCTAAATTTTCTAAAAGAATTTTTTTTAAAAAAAAGGATACATGTTAGTTATTCAATAGTTATGACTTTTTAGGCCTATTTATGTTCTTTAAAACAATAAAATTATTCAGAAAATCAATTTTTCAGAAATTTATCTCCGAACCTAGTCGGATACCTTAAAATAATTACACGGTTGCCTTAAATGACTGGACCTTAAATAATTCTCAAGAGCTATTACAGATTAAATTATTGGAATTATTACATATATATATATATTCATAATTCGCAATTACTTTCTCAACTACTTCTCAAATCAAACACAATTATCTCACTTCTCCCTACACTCAAACAAAACACAGTCCGTCATGTTATAAATTCTCCCAAGAAACTATCTCTTCTTAGTACACCAGATCACGCGCTGTGCGTCGATCTCACTTTCTAAAAACTCCACAAATCAAACACAGTCCGTCTCTCACGTTAAAACCTCTCCCAACAAACTCTATTCTTCGTGCAGCAAACCACGCGTTATGCGTCGGTTCTCGCTTTTCTTCACACTCAATTCAGAGTCCAACCTTTCACGCTTCCATAACAAGGGACTCTCTCTTGCTCTGACCACCCTGTTCAGTGATCAACACTACCTTTCTCCTAAAAAAAAACAGCAACCCCTCTCCGGAAACGCGCAGATTAGCGCCAACATTCCATAATCCACCAACAACAGCAGTCAGACACTGTGTGTGTGTGTGTGTGTGTGTGTGTGTGTGTGTGTGTGTGTGTGTGTGTGTGTGTGTGTGTGTGTGTGTGTGTGTGTGTGTGTGTGTGTGTGTGTGTGTGTGTGTGTGTGTGTGTGTGTGTGTGTGTGTGTGTGTGTGTGTGTGTGTGTGTGTGTGTGTGTGTGTGTGTGTGTGTGTGTGTGTGTGTGTGTGTGTGTGTGTGTGTGTGTGTGTGTGTGTGTGTGTGTGTGTGTGTGTGTGTGTGTGTGTGTGTGTGTGTGTGTGTGTGTGTGTGTGTGTGTGTGTGTGTGTGTGTGTGTGTGTGTGTGTGTGTGTGTGTGTGTGTGTGTGTGTGTGTTGTTCAAATTTTCAATCCTTAATAAAAAAGAATTTTTTATTCATCCACTACCCAAATACATTTTGAACTTGTAGTAGATTATTAATTTCTGAAGTTATCATTGACAATTTTTTCATTAATTAAATTTAATTAATGATTAAATATTAGCAAACCAAAAATAATAGTCCACTACCATAAAAAAATGGAAACGAAAGGAAAAGAAAAAAAGTCTCCCTGTAGTGCAATGGATCGCTTGTTGGACTTCTAATCCAAAGGTCGTGAGTTCGAATCCTTACCTGGGATGCCCTAATTTCTGAGAGAATGCATTTGCGAATGAATAAATAGTAAATAAACAAAAAATATGTACATGTCCCACCATAAAATAGGTATGAAATCCCTGCTTTCTATTTTGCCATTTTAATGCTGTAGTTCTATCATATGTGATATAAGTATTATATTAATTATAATTATTCAATAAAACTAAAATAAAATTTTTCTTTTGCTGACTTAAGTAGGTGTTGACTTTAAAATTTTGTTTTAATATTACTTGTTTTCAGCATAAATTCAAAAACATTTGCTTTTTACTATTTTAATTAATGTTCATCGAAATATTGCTGCAATAAAAGTAATCCGTTTTCTCTTAATCTAATTTAGTTAAGTTAAACTTTAACTTAGATTTCCACCCTTCGAGTAACATTTTGATGGTATAGGAAATGAACGTGGAAGAGACAGAACAACTTGCAGCAAAAAAATCAAATTATTTCAGCTGTTAGACATACATACATTTACGTTTTATCCTGTTTCATAGTATTAAAAAATATCACTTAAGTCATCAATCAACAAGAAATCATACATTTGCCCTAATTATATTTGCATAATAAGCATCTTTCAAAAGGATATTCAGCATATTTACTCGGAATATTATTTTTGAAAATAATTTTAATTACCTTATGTGAAGAAGTTACATATTTTTATGGGCGTTAAAATAATAAAAGATAAAAGATACCTCACACAATGGCCTATATAGATGATGTGTATGAAATAACTATTTTACAAATTGATAAGAACTTTTTTTTTATTCTCTTCGATGATATTTTCTCACTTCGCGAGATATCTGATCTGATAATAAATTGTTTAACTTTTTCATTTTTGGAGACTTATTCAATTTATTTTATATATATAAAATCAATTAGAACATATTAGAATATGCTTATTTATATTTGAAAAAGACAATCAATACGGTACTTTAAAAGCAACCCGATAATATTGATGTATTTTTTTGCCATTATATATAGAAGTGAAAAAATTTTGAATTATAATCATTTAAAAAAAAGCAAATAAGAAAATACGAATTGAATTTAAAAATTGTTAAGCTATTAATATCAGATATATTTTATAGAAGTAAGAGATAAGATATATTTCATAGATATACTATTACAGAAGAGGGAAATTTCAATACATGGTTACAAGGGTAACTCTATAAAAAAACTCAAAAATGCTGACGATGTCAAAACGAGAAACACTAAACTTAAATTGTTATTTTAAAAATAGGTAACAGTTTGAAATTTAGAAAAATAATACATATGTAAACTGTTCAAAATTTGCCTAAAATACAATCAAAGTTTGAAAGTTTTTAGGAAATTTATGAGATTTCTACTTTTATATATCTATAAATATTTAATAAATTTCTCATGCTTGGAGATAAATGAGGCTGAAACTGGGATTTTCATTTTGACTGAATTTGATTTTAAAAATGTTATTTGTATAATTTTTTTTTAATTGGATAATATTTAACTTAATTTTAAAATGCAATGAACTATATGATCTTATTTAATTATATAATATTGAAAACGTCAGATTAGTATACATTATAATCTACTCTTCATTTTAATTATTTTTTCCCAAAATTTTCACGGAATAATTTTGTATAATATAATTACTTCATAGAATCATTGGAAACACATATGTTACGTAATTAAAACTTTTCCAAAACCACAGGATGCAAGTGTATAGCTTTAGCTGATGCTTATTACAAATGTCGCTTATATATATGTACAAACAAAAGTGCCATATTTTCAAAAACATAAATTAATTTCAAAAGCAGAATAGAAAAATAGAAAATTTATAATATATTTAGAAATTTCCTGAAGCAAACTGTGCTAATGCGTTTCATAATTTTTGTATGAAATACATTAGTAATTACACAAAAAATATATATTTTAATTACTAAAAGCAAAAAAGTCTTATCGCACTTGAAAGAAAGATTTGATTTCTCTCAATGCCACCTGAGATAACACTTATTTAAAAAAAATTTGTCGCAAGAGAATAAATTAATATAAAAAAAACAACTTACAACATTCCGAAACATTTTAAAATGTAGTTGCTGTTACAAACACTGTTTCCTCAATGCTTCCTTCATAACATGAATGAAAATAAATATATGCTGAAAGCAGCTGATAATCAGTTCTTTTCATAAAGTCTTGAGGTTATCAGGATGTACTTAATCTACTAGTTTTCCTGATAAAAAGCATTTAAAACCTCGCCAGTTTTGTTTTAAGAGTTCAGTTACAGATATAATAAAGCGATATAAAAAGCAAATCATGTTCCACTTCATGCTTCTTGACTTAAGCTACTTTTTTATTCTGATTTTTTAAAAAAAACGTTCACAATCAAGTATTGGAAATTTAAAAATACAATTATTTATCAGGAGGGAAAAAAACGGTATAACAGCATGCACAAGATATGACTTCATTAGTTAATGCAAATAAAATTCAATATTTGTCAGTTTTGAAAGAAAGATCGTTTGCAAATAAAATAAAACAAAATGGAATGAAACAAATTAAGCACATTATTCTTTATGGGGAAAAAGCCAATCGTAAGAAAATGTCGAATATCATTAAAAATAAAAACAAATTATTTTAAAAAAAAAAGTCGATTCCTATTTCTAGGTCAACAAAGAAAATTTTTACTTTAGTTACTTTCTACTAAATAGTTATAATTAATATAAATATGCATATACATATGACATAATCACACTATTAAGTGACAAAATAAAAAGCGATTTTCCTTGCAAAATTTCCATTTTTCTTCTATATAGGAGTTGACTATTTTTGTTTGTGTTCTATTATTTATTCATTTATTGAATTTTCTAATCACTTTAGTTTCATGTACAATAGTATAATAAAAAAGAAATTACATTCTCAGAAACTAGGCTATCCAGGTGGATTCGACCTTTACGACTTCGGCTTCGAAGAGTCCAACGCACTATTTATCGCGTTACAGAGACACGAATAATGATATCCTTCTATGTATGCTATTGGACTATTATTTTGTTTTGTGCCATTATTTATTCTATTTTAATTTAACCCTTTATCTACCACATTATGATTTACAGCAGTTTTTTTCATGTTTTATATATATATTTTTTTGGATCACTACATTTTGAAAATTAAGGGATATACATAAACAAAATACTCAACTTTGGGAAATTTAATCCGTTAGAGCTAATTAATTAATTAAAGATATTCCACTGTAAAATTAATTATATACACTGTTTACTTAAAATAAAAAGTCAAATCGTTTTCTAAGGTCCTCATTAACATACAAAACTAATAATTATATATTTAAATTTTGACATTAACTATTTTTTCGGGATAAAAATGATAAGCTTTGCAATTCGCTGAAAGCGCCGTCAGCTGAAAACGCAATTTCTGCTATAAAACTATTCGCCTTCCCCGCTAAAACACTCATCATAGAACCCCTGCTGCTATATATCTTGAAAGAATGGATTTCAAAGAATATTCCTGCTAAGTATCGTCAGAATATTCGTAAAATTGGTTATTCTATGTTAGTTTAAAGTGAGTGGTACTTATAAGTACCGCATCGGTAGATAAAGGGCTGATTAATGAATTAATATTTGAAAACATGTATTAACATCAAGTGTCATCCGCTACAAGTTTAAAAAAATGTATTTGAACTTAAGTGGATGAATAGAAAGTATTTTATTAACGATTAAAAATTTGAACAAGATATATATATATATATATAGGGAGAGAGTAAACTAATAGTAGGAATTGAAAAGAAAAAAAGAAAAAGAAATGAAGGAAACATTTAATACAGTTCTTACATTCACTTTTTAACCGCCGTGTAGAGGAGGCCATTGCACGCTAAATCTGTGAAGACTCAAGTGTCCTCCTATTGGTGTGGTGTGGAAGTATAGAGAGGGGTTTGCCAGCTTAGGTATCATCCTCGTCACTGGACCAGGGTTCAAAACTAAGTGGTTCATCGCTTATAGCCCTCGTGCAGATTTATAGTGAGACGTTAATTTAACTGTAACTCTAAATTCACTTTCATACGACACTTTTCCTTAAAATACACACATAAGCTTTCGAAAGGCAAAATACAATTACATTTATATCAAATAAACAAAAACAATAGCAGCAAAATTTTTCTAAGAGAAGAGAAATGATTCAAGTCCAGTGGCGCACACAATGCGGAACCCCCATAGCCCTTTTTTTTTTTCCGATTGGTTATATTCCTATGCTATTACATAAAATGTAATTATGTATTTGTTAAAATTGATTTTATTAATTAATGCAAATTATTTATTCAAAAATTTAAATTTTTGTATTGTTTTTTTTTCCCCAAAAATGGGCAAAAAAAAAAAAAATATGTTGGGCGGCGTATTAACAGGCACCAAATGGTGCACTTTCGATTGGACCCCCTGAAAATTTTTTTGTGTGTACTGTTCACAATATCCGTTAAAAAAGTGGACATTTAAAATTTTGGGAGGGGGTACCCAACGGTTGGGGCCTAACCCGTTAGGTTGGTAAAGGGTAAGAATGGAATAATTTGACCTTTCCTTTTCGGTGCTAGTGGCGCACATTCCCCTGTGACGTCTTCGATTGGGGAACCCCCCCCTTTTTTTCACTCTTAATTTTTATAGCTACGAACAGATGTTAATGACAAGTGCACGGGCCATGGGGTCATTGTTTACCCGCCCTGGGGCAAATGCCACCGGTCGGGGTCATAATGGCCGAAGAGAGCCGGGAACCCCATTTACAATAGGCGAAACCTGATGAAAAGAACCCGGTCGCCGACGGTGCCGAGAGAATGGGTAAAAGCCGAACGGTTAAATAGCAATATTACATTGAGGTCATGAGAAAGTTTAGAGAAAGGGTGAGGAAGAAAATACCAGATTTTGGGGGCAACAAAAGTGGATTTCCCACTAAAGGGGCGACGGTGTCATTGTTTTTGTAAAACAGTTCTTTGGAAAACGATTTTGAGCTCGAGCATCCACCGTAC